GGTGCTGCGGGAGTATGGGGTGAGGGGGTCTCTACTCAGGGCCATCCAATCTCTGTACTCCCAAAGCGAGAGCTGTGTCCGGGTCCTCGGCAGGAAGTCGGATCCATTTCCGGTGAGGGTTGGCCTCCGCCAGGGCTGCGCTTTGTCACCAATCCTGTTTGTAATATACATGGATCGGATTTCGAGGCGTAGTCATGGGGGAGGGGGTCTGCAGTTCGGTGGACTAAGGATTGCACCACTGCTTTTTGCAGATGATGTGGTTCTAATGGCTTCATCGGTCTGCGACCTTCAGCACTCACTGGATCGGTTCGCAACCGAGTGTGAAGCGGCTGGGATGAGGATCAGCACCTCCAAATCTGAGGCCATGGTTCTCAGCAGGAAACCGATGGACTGTCCACTCCAAGTAGGGAATGAGTCCTTACCCCAAGTGAAGGAGTTCAAGTATCTCGGGGTCTTGTTCTCGAGTGAGGGAACAATGGAGCGTGAGATTAATCGGAGCAGCGGGAGCGGTACTGCAGTCGCTTTACCGCACCGTTGTGACGAAAAGGGAGCTGAGCCAGAAGGCAAAGCTCTCTGTCTACCGGGCCATTTTCGTTCCTACCCTCACCTATGGTCATGAAGGATGGGTCATGACCGAAAGAACGAGATCGCGGATACAAGCGGCCGAGATGGGTTTTCTCCGCAGGGTGGCTGGCGTCTCCCTTAGGGATAAGGTGAGAAGTTCGGTCATCAGGGAGGGACACGGAGTTGAGCCGCTCCTCCTTCGCGTCGAAAGGAGCCAGTTGAGGTGGTTCGGGCACCTAGTTAGGATGCCACCTGGGCGCCTCCCTAGGGAGGTGTTCCAGGCACGTCCAGCTGGGAAGAGACCAAGGGGTAGACCTAGGACCAGGTGGAGGGATTATATCTCTTCGCTGGCCTGGGAGCGCCTTGGGATCCCCCAGTCAGAGCTGGTTGATGTCGCCAGGGAAAAGGAACGTTTGAGGCTCTCTGCTGGAACTGCTACCCCCGCGACCCGACCACGGATAAGCGGGAGAAGATGGATGGATGGACTGTGCAACAACATTCATCAGATTTTCTTACTTCTGCACAAAATGATATGTTTTGCAACTCCCTGGGAATAAATAAAGCCTTTTCTTTCCAGTTTGGGAACAACTGGATTCAGTTATTTTTAGGCAAAAAAGCAAGGCGATCTTCAAATAGAAATGTTGATATTGGCTGGCCTGTGTTCGTCGCCCATACCATAACCCCACCACCACCATGGGCCACTCGATTCACAACATTACCCTAACCCTACCCCTACCCCTCACACCAGATACTGACTGGTTTTCGGACCCCCCCCAGACCCCCCCAATAAAGCAAACTGCACATTTCAGAGTGGCCTTTTATTGTGGCCAGCCTAAGGCACACCTGTGCAATACTCATGCTGTCTAATCAGCATCTTGATATGCCACACCTGTGAGGTGGGATGGATTATCTCGGCAAAGGAGAAGTGCTCACTATCACAGATCTTTTCAGATTTGTGAACAATATTTGAGAGAAATTATTATTTTGTGTATATAGAAAATGTTTTAGATCTTTGAGTTCATCTCATGAAAAATGGGAGCAAAAACAAAAGTGTTGCGTTTATATTTTTGTTCAGTGTACATCTCTAGTCAAACCCTTTTTATTTTGTGTTGACAGACAACACTGACTTTTATGGCAGCCAGTATCCCCCCAAAACACCCTTTTTTTTCTAACGGAGCACACTAAGTTGGAGGAGTAGAAGAAGCAGCAGATGGTTGGAATCTCTCTGTTGTGTTTCAAGCCTCGGGAATAACTTCCTTTTCCAATTTGACATCTGGTTTTGGGAGACTTTGTTGTTTGTTTTTGTTCAAAGAGCCTTGCAGTCTGTTCCCAGATCTTCGGCTAGTTTCTAGTAGTGTGAACCCGGAAATGTTGACAAGTTTAATGTTAGAAATTAATAGTAAAGGGTCCCCAGAACATAGAAACTGCCGAATGCTAACCTGAATATGTTGGGCAATTTGCACAATTAGCATAAGTTGTGCTAATTAGCATTATGTTGCATTATAGCCTGTGTAAACAATACAGATAAAAGGCCATATTTGTATTCTCTGTGGGCTACCATGAGTAGTTTTCTGACCTTTGGATATAGAGACCACAAGATGGAAATGATTACCTCAACTGTGGATAACTTTTCTTCAAATAAATAATCAATCCAAATGATCCTAAAACTTCAAAATCGACCCAAATTCATCAAAATCAGAACCTAGGGACCACAAATATGGCATCTTGTTGGTTAAGACTACCAGTTTGGATCCTGAAAATGTCAGAAATGGATTCAGCATCGTCAATGACCTCCAAAAGCACTTGTCCAAATCTGCCAAGCCATTTTTTAACTATTGTCCTAATAAGTTACAATGCAATTGTAATGCTACTTAACGTATCTTATGCTAATGTGTGTTGTTGTTGATGTTGAATCCAATTCTGACATTTTCAGGATCAGAAAATGGCAGTTTTAACCAGAAAGTGACCATACTTGTACTCCTGATGCGCTGATTTTGATGAATTTTGGGTAGATTTGAATGTTTATGAGACTCAAAACTGCAATCTTTGATCCTGAAAATGTAAGAAATAGATTCAACCACCTCAAAAAACTCACCAAAAATGTTTCCAAATCAGCCGAGCCATTTCTTAGCTATTGTCTGCATTGATGCTAATTAACTCAACGTATGCTAATTGCCCAACATATGCAGGTTATCATCCGGCAGTTTCTATGTGCTGATGACCTGTACTTTACATTTCTAACATAAAACGTTGAGGTTTCGGGTTCTCAAAGTGACTATCTTGCTCGTGCATCACTGAAATATAAACTAGAGAATCTGCAGCTCGCTTGTCTTCACTTTGTTTGACAGAAACGCCGGAGGCAACATGTTGCAACGCGCTTCACAGTTTTATCGCTCGCATCCCATAAACACGGCTCTGTTTCCCCCTCTCTTCGCTCTGGTTCAAACCGGCCTTTCTGACCGAAGAGGATGACATCATGAAAGTTGCAGTTTACCCCCTTTTTCCCTTTTTGTTTACGCCTCACAGGAAACACACGGAAACAGTTTGAAGCGTCTATTTAAAGTGTTTCCATGGCAATTAGTGTTTGTTTCTGAAGGTCCACAGCTTTTCCCTCTGAGTATTACTTTCATTTTCAATCAGTGAGTATTTTCTAGATGAATCAATGAAAACTCTGTGTAAATGAAAGAATAAAATACTTAAAATCCCGACTTTGTATATTTAGAGAGCAAGGAACCAATGTGTATTATACTTTGATCAGTTTTCCATAATCATTTAATCAAAACGCTAGCATTTCATGAATTGATTCTGCAAATCTTCCCTTATAGACAGACGTTGTGATTGGTCAATCTCTTAGAGATGTCCCGCCCCTTATCATGTACAATGTGTTAGTGTTAGCCAATAGAAGCAGAAGTTTTCAACGGTGATGTCACTATGTTTAGGCAGGAAACACAGGGATTTTAGCCTCTGCAGACCATTTACATGCACTAAAACCTATAACACACACTACAGGAATGGGAAAAGTAACTTTCTTTTGCAACTAACTAACTTTTATTTTATCATTAGTAATTTGTATTATTAGTAAATCATTTGGTAACTAAACATCCATCCCAGTTCCTCCCAGTTCAAGATGATGTCTTTATTCACCATAATATTCACTTTAATATCATGAAAACACCAAGAAAAGCAGGAAATCGGTTTTTTTGGGGGCAAAAGATGACACTAAAACTAATGGAGGTGATGATGAAAGCTTTTTCCACGTATAAATGAGCATCTTAACTAGTTTCTATGCTTTTTAAACAAAAGACCACGGCAAGTTGTTGCTTCTTTCTTCACTCAACGTCGTTTTCCTCCCCTGTCATCAGTCACAATATCCTCTTATTTAGAGAACCACAGCAGCAACTGGACCAGAGACTTCAAGCTGTGATGGGGGGAAAACACGGAGTGGATTTTAGTTCTCTGTGGATCTGGGATCTGTTGCTCAGCCTGCACCTGGTGTTTTGATCGAATGAACAACCTGCCAATTATTTGGATATATTTACATTTCTTAGTCAAAGAGATTGTTTTTGTGTGTGTGTGTGTGTGGTGTGCTGTGTGTGGTGGTGTGTGTGTGTGGGTGTGTGTGTGTGGGTGTGGTGTGTGGTGTGTGTGTGTGGTGTGTGTGTTGTGGGTGTGTGTGTGTGTGGTGTGTGTGTGTGTGTTGTGTGTGTGTGTGTGTGTGTTGTGTGTGTGTGTGTGTGTGTGTGTGTGTGTGTGTGTGTGTGTGTGTGTGTGTGTGTGTGTGTGTGTGTGTGGTGTGTGTGTGTGTGTGTGTGTGTGTGTGTGGTGTGTGTGGGTGTGTGGTGTGTGTGTGTGTGTGGCCTGAGACTAAAGCTGTAATGATCGACTGATTGACAGAACAATTAACCACTCTCGAATATACACACCAACGTATGAATATAAACAATAGTATATATAATTTAGAGCCAAGTTGTAAATGCTGCAGAATGGTGACAATTAACATTTTGCATGTTTCATGCTTTTGTCCATTTTAAGGATAAAAACAGCTGTCTCTCTTTGAACATAGCCACTTCTTTGATGGCCCCCAGAGGCTTGTTGACATCCACCTGGATCCATCTTCTTTTTATATATAGTCACAGCATAAAAATAGCATTGTCAGCATGTGGACTACCTATGTTGTAAATGTATTATCTTCTTAATTTACACACGGCATCTATTGCACGTCTGTCTGTCCTGAGAGAAGGATCCTCCTCTGTTTCTTACATTGTTCTCCCATTAACTGGGGGGTTTATTTGGAAGTTTCCTTGTTCGTTTTGAGGGTCCAGAGGGGGTCATATTCTGTACAAACTGTTAAACCCCCTGAGACAAAAGTATAATGTGTGATTTTGGGCGATATAAATACACTTTAATTTATTTCTTTCTTTCTTTCTCTCCATCAGAGTGTCCAGAGAGGTGTGCACGGCGGGCGTGCACGTTGGAGGGCGAGTGCTGCCACCCTCAGTGTTTGGGCAGCTGTTCTTCCCCCAGCAGCGACACATCGTGCGCTGCATGCGTTCATTATTTCCACCGGGGGCGCTGCGTGGCCGACTGCCCCCCCGGCACCTTCAGGTTCGAGGGCTGGAGGTGCATCAGCGCTGAACTCTGCTCCAAAGTCCACCTGCCCGACTCCAACAGCTTCTACATCCATGACGGGGAGTGCATGACCGAGTGTCCGAGCGGGTACATGCCTAAAACCCTCAGCAGGTGAGCGATACATGCCCAAAACCCCCAGCAGGTGAGCGATACATGCCCAAAACCCCGAGCAGGTGAGCGATACAAGCCCAAAACCCCCAGCAGGTGAGCGATACATGCCCAAAACCCCCAGCAGTTGAGCGATACATGCCCAAAACATACATGCCCAAAACCCCTAGCAGGTGAGCGATACATGCCCAAAACATCCATGCCCAAAACATACATGCCCAAAACCCCCAACAGGTGAGCGATACATGCCCAAAACATCCATGCCCCAAAACATACATGCCCAAAACCCCCAGCAGGTGAGCGATACTTGCCCAAAACCCCCAGCAGGTGAGCGATACATGCCCAAAACCCCCAGCAGGGGAGCGATACATGCCAAAAACCCCCAGAAGGTGGGCGATACATGCCCAAAACATACATGCCCAAAACCCCCAGCAGGTGAGCGATACATGCCCAAAACCCCCAGCAGGGGAGCGATACATGCCCAAAACCCCCCAGCAGTGAGGCGATACATGCCCAAAACCCCAGCAGGTGTAGCGATACATGCCCAAAACCCCCAGCATGGGAGCGATACATGCCCAAAAACCCCCAGAAGGTGGGCGATACATGCCCAAACATACATGCCCAAACCCCCCAGCAGGTGAGCGATACATGCCCAAAACCCCCCAGAAGGTGATGCGATACATGGCCCAAAACCCCCAGCAGGGGGAGCGATACATGCCAAAAACCCCCAGAAGGTGGGCCGATACATTCCCAAAACATACATGCCCCAAAACCCCCCAGCAGGGTGAGCGATACATGCCCAAACCCCCCAGCAGGGGAGCGATACATGCCCAAAACCCCCAGCAGGTGAGCGATACATGCCCAAAACCCCCAGCAGGTGAGTTGATAATGCCCAAAACCCCCAGAAGGGGAGCGATACATGCCCAAAACCCCCAGCAGGTGAGCGATACATGCCCAAAAACCCCCAGCAGGTGAGCGATATACATGCCCAAAACCCCGAACAGGGGAGCAATACATGCCCAAAACATACATGCCCAAAACCCCAGCAGGTGAGCGATACATGCCCAAAACCCCCAGCAGGGGAGCGATACATGCCCAAAACCCCCAGCAGGTGAGCGATACATGCTCAAAAACATCCATTGCCCAAAACATACATGCCCAAAACCCCAGCAGGTGAGCGATACAATGCCAAAAACCCCCAGCAGGGTGAGCGATACATGCCCAAAACATCCATGCCCAAAACATACATGCCCAAAACCCCCAGCAGGTGAGCGATACTTGCCCAAAATCCCCAGCAGGGTAGCGATACATGCCCAAAACCCCCAGCAGGTGAGCGATACATGCCCAAAACATCCATGCCCAAAACATACATGCCCAAAACCCCAGCAGGGGAGCGATACTTCCCAAATCCCCAGCAGGTGAGCGATACAATGCCCAAAAACCACCACCAGGTGGCGATACATGCCCAAAACCCCCAGCCAGGTGGGCGATACATGCCCAAAAACATACATGCCCAAAACCCCCAGCAGGTGAGCGATACATGCCCAAACACCCAGCAGGGGAGCGATACATGCACAAAAACCCCCCAGCAGGTGAGCGATTCATGCCCAAAACCCCCAGCAGGTGAGCGATACATGCCCAAAACCCCGAGCAGGTGAGCGATACTTGCCCAAAACACCCATCAGGGGAGTGATACATGCCCAAAACCCCCAGCAGGTGAGCGATACATGCCCAAAACCCCCAGCAGGTGAGCGATTCATGCCCAAAACCCCCAGCAGGTGAGCGATTCATGCCCAAAACCCCCATCAGGTGAGCGATACATGCCCAAAACCCCCAGCAGGTGAGCGATACATGCCCAAAACATACATGCCCAAAACCCCCAGCAGGGGAGCGATATATGCCCAAAACACACAGAAGGTGAGCGATACATGCCCAAAACCCCCAGCAGGCGAGCGATACATGCCCAAAACCCCGAACAGGAGAGCGATACATGCCCAAAACAAACATGCCCAAAAATCCCAGCAGGTGAGCGATACATGCCCAAAACCCCCAGCAGGTGAGCGATACATGCCCAAAACCCCCAGCAGGTGAGCGATACATGCCCAAAACATCCATGCCCAAAACATACATGCCCAAAACCCCCAGCAGGTGAGCGATACTTGCCCAAAATCCCCAGCAGGTGAGCGATACATGCCCAAAACCACCACCAGGTGAGCGATGCATGCCCAAAACCCCCAGCAGGGGAGCGATACTTGCCCAAAATCCCCAGCAGGTGAGCGATACATGCCCAAAACCACCACCAGGTGAGCGATACATGCCCTAAACCCCCAGCAGGTGGGCGATACATGCCCAAAACATACATGCCCAAAACCCCCAGCAGGTGAGCGATACATGCCCAAAAACCCCTGCAGGGGAGCGATACATGCCCAAAACCCTGAGCAGGTGAGCGATACATGCCCAAAACCCCCAGCAGGTGAGCGATACATGCCCAAAACACCCAGCAGGGGAGCGATACATGCCCAAAATCCCCAGCAGGTGAGCGATACATGCCCAAAACCCCAGCAGGTGAGCGATACATGCCCAAAACCCCCAGCAGGTGAGCGATACATGCCCAAAACATGCATGCCCAAAACCCCCAGCAGTGGGCGATACATGCCCAAAACATACATACCCAAAACCCCCCAGCAGGGGAGCGATACATGCCCAAAACCCCCAGCAGGTGAGCGATACATGCCCAAAACCCCCAGCAGGGGAGCGATATATGCCCAAAACACCCAGCAGATGAGCGATACATGCCCAAAACCCCGAACAGGGGAGCGATACATGCCCAAAACATACATGCCCAAAAAACCCCAGCAGGTGAGCGATACATGCCCAAAACATACATGCCCAAAACCCCCAGCAGTGGGCGATACATGCCCAAAACATACATGCCCAAAACCCCCAGCAGGTGAGCGATACATGCCCAAAACCCCGAACAGGGGAGCGATACATGCCCAAAACATACATGCCCAAAAACCCCAGCAGGTGAGCGATACATGCCCAAAACATACATGCCCAAAACCCCCAGCAGTGGCGATACATGCCCAAAACATACATGCCCAAAACCCCCAGCAGGTGAGCGATCATGCCCAAAACCCCAGCAGGTGGGGCGATTCATGCCCAAAACATACATGCCTAAACCCCAGCAGGTGAGCGATACATGCCCAAAACCCCCAGCAGGTGGGCGATACATTCCCAAAACATACGTGCCCAAAACCCCCAGCAGGAGCGATACATGCCCAAAACCCCCAGCAGGTGAGCGATACACGCCAAAACCCCCAGCAGGTGAGCGATATATGCCCAAAACCCCCAGCAGGTGAGCGATAACAAGCCCAAAACCCCCCAGCAGGGGAGCGTACATGCCCCAAAAACCCCCAGCAGGGAGCGATACATGCCCAAAAACCCCCAGCAGGTGAGCGATACAAGCCCAAAAACCCCCCAGCAGGTGAGCGATACATGCCCAAAACACCCAGCAGGTGAGCGATACATGCCCAAAAACGCCCAGGCAGGTGAGCGATACAAGCCCAAAACCCCCAGCAGGGGGAGCGATACATGCCCAAACATACATGCCCAAAACCCCAGCAGGGAAGCGGATACATGCCCAAAACATCCATGCCCAAAACATACATGCCCAAAACCCCCAGCAGGTGAGCGATACTTGCCCAAAATCCCCAGCAGGTGAGCGATACATGCCCAAAATCCCCAGCAGGTGAGCGATACATGCCCAAAACCACCACCAGGTGAGCGATACATGCCCAAAACCCCCAGCAGTGGAGCGCGTACATGCCCCAAAACCCCCAGCAGGTGGGTGATACATGCCCAAAACATACATGCCCAAAACCCCCAGCAGGTGAGTGATACATGCCCAAAACATACATGCCCAAAACCCCCAGCAGGGGAGCGATACATGCTCAAAACCCCCAGCAGGGGAGCGATACATGCCCAAAACCCCCAGCAGGTGAGCGATACAAGCCCAAAACCCCCAGCAGGTGAGCGATAAATGCCCAAAAACCCCAGCAAGTGAGCGATACAAGCCCAAAACCCCCAGCAGGTGAGCGATACAGCCCACAAAACCCCCAGCAGGTGAGCGTTACAATGCCCCCAAAACCCCCCAGCAGGGGAGCGATACATGCCCAAAACCCCCAGCAGGTGAGTGATACATGCCCAAAACCCCCAGCAGGTGAGCGATACAAGCCCAAAACCCCCAGCAGGTGAGCGATACAAGCCCAAAACCCCCAGCAGGTGAGCGATACATGCCCAAAACCCCCAGCAGGGGAGCGATACATGCTCAAAACCCCCAGCAGGTGAGCGATACATGCCCACCAACCCCAGCAGGTGAGCGATACATGCCCAAAACCCCCAGCAGGGGAGCGATACATGCCCAAAACCCCCAGCAGGGGAGCGATACATACCCAAAAGCCCCAGCAGGGAAGCGATACATGCCCAAAACCCCCAGCAGGGAAGCGATACATGCCCAAAACCCCAGCCAGGGAAGCGATAATGCCCAAACACCCCAGCAGGAGCGATACATGCCCAAAACATACATGCCCAAAACCCAGCAGGTGAGCGATACATGCCCAAAACCCCCAGCAGGGGTGCGATACATGCCCAAAACATACATGCCCAAAACCCCCAGCAGGGGGGCGATACATGCCCAAAACATACATGCCCAAAACCCCCAGCAGGGGAGCGATACAAGCCCAAAACCCCAGCAGGTGAGCGATACATGCCCAAAACCCCCAGCAGGGGAGCGATACATGACCAAAACCCCCAGCAGGGGAGCGATACATGCCCAAAACCCCCAGCAGGTGGGCGATACATGCCCAAAACATACATGCCCCAAAACCACCAGAGGGGAGCGATACATGCCCAAAACCCCCAGCAGGGGCGATGCATGCCCAAAACATACATGCCCAAAACCCCCAGCAGGGGAGCGATACATGCCCAAAAACCCCCAGCAG